AGAAAGTAAATATAGAAATTAAAAATAAGAAATTTTAATACTGAGGAAAAAGGCAAACAAGTTCTACATGCAATGTGTAAAGAGCAAATGATCATTAGTGAAATGAAATGGTAGTACTGAGGAAGATGGTGACTCAAACGAAGATTATCAGCAGGCTTTGAAGGAAAAAGCATTTAGAAACTTAGCTGGGAGAGAAAGGGCAGGCAGCCAGGTGCTATTTACAGACTCTGTTCCAAAGATGCTCAAGCAGATCTGTGAATTTTATCTAGCAGATTCATGGTGTCTAGAAAAAGAAGTGCCACATGAAAATTTTAAAAGTAGGTGACATAAATTCCCTCATATATATTTCAGTCTAAATTTATTGTTATGCAGCATAAAAATGTCAAACTAGAAAATATTAAGTCCTCTTGTCAATGATAGAATATACATGAAATTCAGGTTCTTGTTAGTAACTAAAACTACAAATCCCATAGTCTAATCTTTCTTTAACACTCAACTACAAAAATAACATGCACAGAGGTTTTTCTATGCATCGTTCTAAAAGTCAAGGGATTTATTTATTCCTTTGTTGTTGCTGTTATTGTCGTCAAGTCCGTTTAACTCATAGCGTCCCTGTATAGGGTTTTCAAGGAATGGCTAATGAATTTATTCCTTTAGACATTTCTAAATTGTATTCTTGGTTCCCGCCAGATGAAGACCTCTGCTGATACATCCCACTTGTAAATTCTCTCAGAAAACTGCTTTTGGCTTTATGCCATTTGTTTACACTAAGGGATATTATGAAGTCCTGTTATGATGCTGTGGGATAAGCATTGAACTGCTAACGAGGTTAGTGGTTCAAACCCACCAACCACTCCTGAGAAACGCTACATAGGGTCACTATGAGTTGGAACAAAAGTGAGGAGTGTTGTAAGAAAAAGCACGTCAAGATTATTATTATGGATGCTTTGTTCATTCCTCTTTCTGTATATCAGACCTCAATAACATGAAAAACTATACGTGTATCTGAATATTGGTGTTAAGTGCTACTGAGTCTGTTCTGACTCATAGCAAGCCTGTACAAGGTTTCCAAGGCTTTTTAAACCTCTGTGGGAGCAGAAAGCCTCATCTTTCTCCTGTGGAGCATCTGGTGGGTTTGAACTGTGGACCTTGTGGTTCATGATCAGTGTTTATGGTATGGGGCCACTGCACTTACTTTTATCTGATGTTGTTGTTGTTAAGTGCCGTCGAGTCAATTCTAACCCATAGCAACCATGTATAGGGTTTCCAAGGAGCAGCTGGTGAGCTTGAACCACCAACCTTGCAATTCAAACTGACTGCAGTCTGACACATTAGCCCATAGCACAGACACTGTGAATTCTGCAATTAACTCAGCCTATTATATCCTCTTTTGTCTGGCTACAGAGAAGCTCAGAAAAATATTTGTAGTCCTTTATCAACAAATGAATGGATTATGTAATTTGCATCTCCAAAAGGAAATATTACCTGGGTTTATTATTCTCTAATTTTCCTTCATTTGATTCCCTTGTGTGGACTCCTGAATTAATTTTCTTTTTGTAAATTTCCTCAAATCCTTTGTGGTGAAAGATGAGGTGCAAATAAACAATACAAAATTTAGAATCCATAATTAATAGAATTGAGGAAGTACTAAAAATGTGCTACTCTGCTTTTAAGGAAATGAGGCAGAGGACCAAAAAACATTTGCAAAAAAGTTTTGTGTGTGTGTTTTAAAGTCCAGTATACCTCCCAGAAATATACAACCAAGACAATCTACCATAATTCTACCATCTGTAACTCATGTCATAGTACACAATTATACAAATACAGCTGAAAGTCAGAACGACCCAGGACACTAAAAGAGCTTACTAAACAAAATGTGGGTTAATGCACTGGACTGCAAAGTCAGTCTGAACTGCAAGGTCAGTGGTTCAAGCTAACTAGCTGCTCCTCAGAAACTCTACACTGGGTCGCTATGGGTCGGAGCCAATTTGATGGCACTTTTTGAACTGCGAAGTCAGCAGTTCAAGCTCACCAGCTGTCCCTTGGAAACCCTATACAGGGTTGCTACGGGTCGGAACCGACTAGACGGCACTTAACAACAACAATTAAATAAAATATTTAAATGTTACAAATTTTTCTCCAAGACATTATTTGAGATATAACTACAACAACAGCAACATTTTCTAGTTAACCCCTGAGAAAATCCCAATTAAAGCTAACATCTCATTACCTTACCATTACCCACCACATTATCCAAGCATTTGTAGACATTCTGTAAGGTTCTATTCTGGATCTTTCCCTAAACTCACGGGCATTTCTACCCTCAGTTTCAACCATTTCTTTAAGAATGATTCCAAAATCTCTATCCCATCTAAAAACTACTTTGTTATGTTGTTGTTAAGTGCCGTTGAGTCGATTTCTACTCATAGCAACCCTATATGGGGTTTCTAAATAGCAGTTGGTAAGTTGGAACTGCTGACCTTTCAGTTTAAACTGACCTTGCAGTCCAGTGCTTATCCTACCTACAGAGCCACACCCCTCTATTAAAACACTTCATGTTCTTTTTCCCTTTCTCCATCTCCCATAAGCAACCCTTTCCATCAACGTCATTTCTGATAGTTAACACCATCATTCTGTCTAATTCTAAGGCTTCAGTCATTTTTATCCCTTCGTTCACTTCATCTCTGATATTCCATCTCATCAAGCTTGACCATTTCTTCTTTTGAAGTGTCTTTCTGTTTAGCTCCTTCTTCATTCACACTGTTATTTCAGGTCTGGGCCCTAACCATAAATACCTCTCACACTGTGGCAGCTTTCAAGTGACCTCTCTGCTTCATGTCTCCTCTCAGACGTTCCACTTCACACTAAATCCCACTGTCTCCACATTGTCTTTTGTTAAGTCATTTCTCTCCAATCTGCAATAGCAGCTTCCTATAACTTACTGCATGCATCATAGTGACATTCCTCAATGTAAACTTTCAGGGCAACCCACAGTAGTCATCACACAGTTTCCATTAACTACAGTGCCCTAGTGTGGCGCTGTAGGATAAGCACCGGATTGCTGACTGCGCTAACCACAAAGTTGGCAATTCAAACTTATCAATTGTTCTTGGAAACCCTATACAGGGTCACTATGAGTTGGAACCAACTCGATGGCACTTACCAACAACAATATTTAACTCACCATTCACTATACCAGGCCAAACAACTTAATGACTTAAGTCACATCCAGAATGCTTCTCCTCCCCATACCCAGAATGCTCTCTTTCCTGCCTTAGCCAAATCGTAATAATTTTTCAGGACATGGCTCAGAGTCTCATCGCAGTAATAAAGCTCTCTGGGTACTGTATTTTTTTCGCATATAACATATCCACGCATATAACACATACTTGCACATAATGTGCTTAGGAAACTAACTCAAGAAGGGTTGCAGTTTGCAAAAACAGCATAGTACACAGTTCATAAAAATATGGCATTCTATTCCATATGGATCTTGTTCTTATCTGATTACCTACTGTGTGCACAATCAGAATCCAATGGCTCAGAAGCAAATTATTCTGTTTCATAGATATGTGCTCCAAGGTGGTCTCATCTGTTCCCATGGCTTTCTTACGCACCCAAATCTAAATCTCCATACTTGTTCTTGTCACTAAACTTCAGATTCTCACATCCAGCTGGCTACCATCCAATGCCACTTGGATTAGTCTAGCAGGCATCTGAGACATAACACGTCCAAACAGAACTCCTGACTTTTACTACTGAAACACACTTATCCTTCAGCCCAATTATCCCTCCAGTTCCTCAGGCCCAAAATCTATACGTGATCTTAGTCTTCTCTTTCCTTCACATTCTACATCAATCTATTAGGAAGAATTACTTACTTCCCAAAACAAAACCAGTTGCTACTGAGTCGATTCAGACTCATGGGGACCCCATGTGTTGCAGAGCAAGACTGTGTTTCATAAGATTTTCAGGGCGGTGGGTGGCTTTCAGGTGCAGACTGCCAGGCCTTTCTTCTGAGATGCTTCTAAGTGGGTTTGAACTGCCAACCTTTCAGTTAGCACTCTACTGCTTACACAACAATAACACAGTCCAAATATAACCAATTCTTATCATAAACACCTTAGTTCAAGTTACAAGCATCACCTCTACCAAACGTCTCTAAGATTCCCTTAACTGATCTCTGTTTCTACTCTACCAGAATGATATACTCAAAAGTCAACATACAACCCTACAACTCTGCAGCTTAAAATTCTCCAACTGATTCCTAGTGCATTAGACTCAACCCAAACTCCTTATCCAGGCCTATAAGGCTTTATATAATCTGCCCCATTCCTAGCTTTGCAATTTCACCTTCCAACCTGTACCTTCTATAAACTGCCCATAATGGTCCCCATCACTGAATTTCTTTTCATCCCTGATTGAAAGCCTTCTGCATTGGCTGTTAGTTGCCTTGTTCTTCATTCATACCGTCTTTCAGGTGATCTCCATTTTAGGGCTCTGCTCACTCGTCACCCTCTCAGAGGGGTCCTTAACCACTATAGATAAAGTCACTTTCTATCCCGTTATACGAGTTTTATTTTCTTCATGGGCAAAGAATAGTGCTAAGTGCTATCTCCTCCCAATGGACTATAAACTTCTCTAAGATCCTTAAGGGCAGGTACCAGGTAAGATGTTTTATATTTCCCATTACAGTTTGCCTAATAAAATTCTGGACATGTGAGAACACCAATAAATACCTAGTAGTCTTCTTATAAGAAAGAATACCTACAATCTGCGAAGCTATAAAAATTTCTAAAGCCAGAAATAAATGCAGAGACACTGCAAGGAGGGTGATGACGTAATACCTATTATTTAGTGTAAGTTCAGAATCACATGCTTCTTAACTTGAACAAGATTTCCTAATCAAACACTAATTTATATTGCAACCACTTGAATTTTATTCCAGTAACAACCATCAGGCAAGTAGTAATTGGAGTGGAGAAAATGAAAAGTCTTACTTAATATTATAATGTCCAGTTTTCAGTGTACATCTATCAGGAAGCTGAGCAAGTTTCCTCGAGAGCATTTTAAAATACTTTCTGCACTCTTGCACTCCTGTATTTTGTTCATAATCAGTAGAAGCAGAAAGTGGCAGCCCATCTCTGACACGAAGGACTGAGGCAGATAAAATCATAGACATTTCAACTGAGAGAGAAGACCTAAAACAAAACGAATAGTTTGAGTTAGATAAAAATTAAAGCCAAAGCTGGTAAGCATATACAAAAGTGTTCAACTCACTAGTAATCAAAGAAAACAAATTAAAACACACTGTTCTGCTCAGCAAATTAGCTTAGAAAATACTTGCTTCTGTCCGGTATTCTCAGAAGTAACAGGTTAAAGAAATTTGGCAATATGCAACAAGAGGTTAGAAGTATTTATCCCCTTTGATATAAATAAATTTAAATATATGATCCTGTCTTATATGCCTTGGAAGGAAAACAATCAAAATCCTCTTTACAAGCAAGCATGGAGAGACTTCATCTCTCATACTTTGGATATGGTATCAGTCAGGACCAGTCCCTAGTAGAGTGGAGGGTCAATGAAAAAGAGTAGACCCCCAACCAGATGGATTAACACAGTGGCAACAAGAATGCTGCTGCTGTTGTTGTTAAGAACCATCAAGTTGGTTATGAATCATAGTGACCCTATACAGGATTTCCGAGGAACACCTGGTGGATTTGAGTTACTGACCTTGCAGTTAGTGCTTATCCTACAGTGTCACACATACAAAAATTGTGAAGATGGTGCAGGACTGGACAGTGTTTCGTTCTGTTGTACACAAGATCACTATGTGGAACCAACTCAATAGGATCGCTAAGAGTAGGAATAAATTCGATGGCACCTAACAACAATATCTTGAGGAGTACAGAGATTCAGACAAATTTTTAAACAGAAATATATTCTCCTACAGAAAGAACTGAAAACAACCTAAATGCCCAACAATAGGGGGATGAGCAATTAAGTTATATATAACTGTTATATTACATATGTTGAAAATCATATGAAATTTAATGCAGCAACTAAAAAACATATTTGTGGAGGAAAAAAGTTTAATGATGTGGTAAAATGCATATATATTAGAAATAAAAAGGCAGGATAAATATTGTAAATCTTGTTTTTCATCAAGATAAAAAGAATGAAGAAGGGAGAGTAAATGGAGAAATAGATACTGGAAGGAAATATACCAAAATTAAAATAATACTTATCTTCAAGAAATAGTATCATGGGTGACTATTATAATTTGAACAATATTCTATAATACATATTATTTTTATAATCAGGAAGAAATATTTTTATTTAAAATAAACTACAAAGTAAAAAAAAAATACTGATTTTAATAATGTTCTCAATCTTTTTACCAGACAGTAAACCATAATGGCTTCTTTTATTAAATTCTGGTCATGCTTCACAAAAGCAGACAAAAAACCTTCATGGGTCTGGGTCTGAAAGCAATCAGGAAAACAACTGAACTTTGATAAAACACAAAGAAGTTCTCAAATTTATCCCATATAAGAACTATTGGAAGTTTGGTTAAAAAAGTAGGATAAGCACTGGACTGCAAGGTCGTTTGAACAGAAAGTTCACTGGTTCAAACTTACCAACTGCTACTCAGAAACCCTATACATAGTCGCCATGAGTCAAAACCAACTCGATAACACTTAACAAGCCCACTCACCGCAAAAGACTGTGGACTGGGGCTTAGGAAACATCAGTTTAAACAAATTCCTCAGGTGATTACAATGTTTATTGTCTAAGGATCTTACTTCAAACAACACTGAATTAAAACTATGTCTGAAATTAAGTGATAACTATTGACTCCACAGCACTTAACAACTTTCTACCAGGCCATGAGAACTCCATGTCCCAGCATGCTTCTCCTTCACTAGCAGTCAGAACTATCAGTGAAAATTCATTCTTTTCAATAAAATTTCATAACTGTTTTTCAAAAGTATTCTATCTCAGAGACTAAACTAATCCTTATCTGCCTATTTCAGCAAGGTCATGATCAAATGTGTCAATCACCAATATATAAGTTGTTGTTAAATGCCCTCTGTTCTCATAGCAACCCTGTATAGGATTCCTGAAGAGTGGCTGGTGGGTTTGAACTGCTGACCTTATAGCTAGTGCTGTTATAACGACTCTATACAGGGTTTCCAAGGAGTAATTGGTGAATTTGAACCACCGATCTTGCGGTTCAAACGGACCTCGCAGTCCAGTGCTTTATCCCACAATTGCCACACCAGCATTGTTTATCCTACAGCACCATGTTTGTTGTTGTTGTGTGTCATGGAGTCGGTTCTGACTCATAGAGACCCTGTACAGGGTTCCCAAGGCTATAAATCTTTACGGGAGCAGAAAGCCTCATCTTTTTCCCACGGAATAGCTGGTAGTTTCAAAATGCTGACCCTGAGGTTAGCAGCCCGATTCTTAACCACTAGGCTACCAGAGCTCCTTACAGCACCATGTAGAACCCCATAATTCTAAAAAGTGAGGTAGGTATAACCTTCCATTTTACAGATGATGAAACTGAGGTTCACTTTCTTTATGTCACACTGCTAATAAATGGCAGAACTGGTTGATGCTGTTAAGTGTTGTTGAGTCGGTTCCAACTCTTAGAGACCCTCTGCACAACAGAACTGAACACTGCCGTGTCCTGTGCCAACCTCACAGTTGTGCTTGAGCCCACCACTGCTGCCATTGTGCCAATCCGTCTCATTGGGAGTTTTCTACTTTTTCACTGACCATCCACTTTACCAAGCATGATACCTTCTCGACGGACTAATCCCTCCTGATAATAAGGCTAAAGTACAAGACAAGAAGTCTTAGCATCCTGGATTCTAAGGAGAACTCCAGCTGTACTTCTACCAACACAGACCTGTTTTTCTGGCAATTCACAGTACCTTCAATGTTCTTCTCCAACATCAAAACTTAAACACATCGATTCTACGGTAGTCCTTATTCACTGCTCAACTTTCATGCATATAAGGTTATCGAAAATACCGAGGCTTGGGTCAGGTACACCTTAGTCTTCAAACTGATGATATCTTTGTTGTTGAACACTTTAAAGAGCCTTGTGCAGCTGATTTGCCTAATGTAATACATTATTTGATTTCTTGACTTCTGCTTCCATAAGTGTTGACTGTGGATCCAAGGAAAATGAAATCTTTGACAATTTCAATCTGTTCTTTATTTATCATATGTTATGTATTGGTTCAGTTGTGAAGATTTTTGTTTTCTTTACATGGAGGTGCAATCCATACTGAAGTCTATGATCTTTTATCTTCATCAGTAAGTACTTCAGTCCTCTTCCCTTTCAGCAAGCAAGGTTGTATCATCTGCATATCACAGGTTGTTAATGAGTCTTCCTCAAATTCTGATGCCACATTCTTCTTTATATAATCCAGTTTCTTGGATTATTTGCTTATCATACAGATTGAATAAGTATGGTGAAAGAATACAACCTTCTTTGCATGCCTTTTTGATTGTAAACCATTTAGTGTCCCCTTGTTCTGTTCGAATGATTGCTTCTGGGTCTATATACAAGTTCCTCATGAAAAGTGTTCTGGAGTATCCATTCTTCACAATGTCATCCATAGTTTGTCATGATCTACACGGTTGAAAATCTTCACATTATATAAATCACAAGTAAATATCTTTCTGGTATTCTCTGCTTTCAGCCAAGATTTATCCGACACAAGCAGATAAGCCCTAGTTCTGTGTCCTCCTCTGAATCTGGCTTGAACCGCTGACAGTTCCTTGTCAATATATTATTGCAGTCATTTTAAAATTATCTTCAGCAAAATTTAACTTGCATATGATATTATTTCCCGATGATTTCCACCTTCCATTGAGTCACCCCTCTTTGGAATGGTCACAAATATGGATCTCTTCCAATCAGTTTGCCAGGTAGCTGTCTTCCAAATTTCTCAACTTAAATGACCGGGCACTCCCAGTGCTGCATCAACTTGTTAACAATTTCCATTTGTATTCCATCAATTCCTGGAGCCTTGGGTTTTTTCAATGTCCTCAGTGCAGTCTGGACTTCTTCCTTCAATATCATCAGTTCTTGTTGATCATGTGCTGTCTCCTGAAATGGATGGACATCGACCATTTCTTTTTGGTACAATGATTCGTGTATACCTTCAATCTTCTTTTGATGCTTTCTGCATCATTCAATATTTTGCCCATAGAATCCTTCAATATTGCAAGTCGTGTTTGAAATTTTTCTTCAGTTTTTTCAGCTTGTGAAATGTTGCATGTATTCTCCCCTTCTGGTTTTCTAATTCCAGGTCTATGCACGTTTCATTAAAATACTTTGTCTTCTCAAGCTGTCCTTTAACATTTTCTGTTCAGCTCTTTGACATCCTCACTTCTTCTGTTAGCTTTAGCATGTCTACACTGGAGAGCAAATTTCAGACTCTTTCCTGGTACCCATTTTGGTCTTTTCTTTCTTTTCTGTCTTTTTAATGACCTTTTGCTTTTTTCCTGTATGATGTTCTTGATGTCATCCCACAGAGTTTCTGGTCTCCAGTCATTAGTGTCTAATGTATCAATTCTGTTCTTGAGATGGTCTCTAAACTCAGGGGGACATGTTCAAAGTCATATCTTGGCTCTAGTGGACTTGTTTTAATTTCTTTCGGCTTTACCCTGAACTTGCATATGAACAATTGATGATCTGTTCCACAGTCTGTCCTTAGTTTTGTTTTGGTTGATGATATTGAACTTTTCCACTGTCCGTCCCACAGATGTAATCAATTTGATTCCTGTGTATTCCATCTGGTAATGTCCATGTGTATGTCCAAGTCTTTTATGTTGTTTTTTAAATGTATTTGCAATGAAGAAGCCATTGGTATTTTACAAGCAAAATTCTATTACGCAATCTCCAGCATCATTTCTATCACCAAGGACATATTTTCCAACTACTGATCCTTCCTGTTTGTTTCCAATCTTCACATTCTAATCACCAGTAATTATCAATACATCTTAATTTCATATTTGATCAATTTCAGACAGAAGTTGGCAGAATTCTTCCAATTTCATCATCACTGGCTATAGTGGTTGGTGCATAAATTTGAATAATAGGGGTACTAGCTGGTCTTCCTTGTAGTCGTATGGATATTATCCTATCACAGTACTATTCTTCAAGATAGATCTTGAACTGTTCTTTTTGATGATGTGACACCATTCCTCTTGAATTTGTCATTCCCAGCATAGTAAACCATATGACTGATTCAAAATAGTCAGTCAATACCAGTCCATTTCAGTTCACTAATGCCTGGGACAGGAATCATGGTGTGGCACTATAGGATAAGCGTGCAACTGCAATGTCAGTTTGCATCACAAGGTCGGCAGTCAAATCCACCAGCCGCTCCTTGAAAACCCCATATAGGTCACTATGACTTGACAGCATTTAACAACAATGCCTAGTATATCAATGTTTATGTGTCCCATTTCATTTTTGACAACTTCCAATTTTCCTAGATTCATACTATGTACATTCCATGTTCCAATTATTAATGGATATTCACAGTTGTTTCTCCTCATTTTGAGATTTACCCCATCAGAACATGAAGGTACTGGAAGCTTTACATCACTTGAGTTATCACAGTCAACTCTACTTTGAGGAGGCACTACCTATGAGTGCCTTCCAACCTGAGGGGCTCATCATCCAGCACTATATTTGGCAATGTTCCACTGCTATTCATAAGGTTTTGCAGGATAAACATTTAGAAGAAGTCTACCTCTCCTTCCTAGTCTGTCTAATTCTGGAAGCTCAGCTGAAACTTGCCCACTATGGGTGACCCTGCTGGTATTTAAAATACAGGTGACATAGCTTCCAGAATCAAAGCAACACACAAGCCACCACAGATTGAGAGACAAGTGGTGAGGCAGAACTGGTACTTAACCCTAAATTCCTTGTATCCTGACATCATATTGCTCCATCAGTCTCTCAAAACCAACAAGTGTCAATAATCAAATAATACAGAAACGATCCAGCTACTTATTTTGAATTAATAGAGTAAAAGTTTTTATTTTCTTTAAGAGACAAAACAATGTAGTAAAGAATATGGTTCTGGAACCAACTGCCTGGGTTCAAATCTTGATTCCACCACAAACTACCTATGTAAGCTTATTTGGGCAAGCTTATTTGCTTTCCTATACCTCAATTTCATCTGTAAATTGTGGCTATTAATAGTTTCTATCTCATTTGTTGAAAGTTATTTTAAATATTTAAACCCCTGAAACACTGCTGTACAAACTCCAAGTGCTAAAGTATTTGCTAAATGTTCACTATGAGTCCGAATCAACTCGACAATAGGGTTTTGTATTCTTATTTATTGATTGTTCGCTATAGACCAGACACTTCACACACATTACTTCATTTAAGCCTTTCAATAACCTATGAAGTGAGTACTACTAGTTCCATCTGGAATGTGAGGAAATTAAGCCCAGAGAGGTTAAACAATTTAATTAATCCCTAAACTAGTAAGTGACAGAGCAGGGATTTAAGCTCAGGCCTAACTCTAATCACCTATGAGACAACGCCTCTCAACATAACCAAAGTTCTTGCTGAAATATACAAAAAGGAAGGTTACAAGCATCCCTTTGATAGGACCAGACTTCTTTCACGCATTAACATAAAATATCTTTTGTTTGTTTTTAATCAGTGACACACCCAAAACAAAGCAGCAAACTGTTCTCAATGTAGGGAATATCCAGATGGCCCATTAATTTAGGGCAGGGACACAGGTATCCCATTCAAAAACTGAACAACCTCCTTCACATACCACAAATTGTAGATACTCTGTAAGGTACTACCTAATGCCTTACAATCTCAAGACGTGAATAAAAAGCAAGTAACTTGAAATGTGATTCAGGGATTTTTTTTTTTCTTCCCCAAGTGGCCAATTCCACCTGTCAGGTAGGGCCTGGACAGGCTCTCTCTGGTGGCCGGCACTTTAGCACTTGACTGGACTTTGCATAGGAGGGACTGGTTCTCAGTCTCTCCACACACACCCCACAACCCTGTCCCAAGTGAATGATCCAGGAAACTGGGGAGCAAGAGAAAAGCCCAAAGCTGTTTAAACGGTCAAAGACTCAAATCCTCTCTGGCAAGGCCTCCTCTTTCAGAGTCCTCCTCAACCTGTGGAACCTTATATGCCACATACTTCCTAAAATGCCATTATCCTCCTGGGTCAGTACTTCCCAAAGGTTTCCATAAGCCAAAGCGGGCAGATCTGTGCGTTCAACGTTCATTCAATCCCACAAAACGCAAAACAGCTGGTTTAAATCCCACTTCCTAAAAGAAATACAGGGAATCCACTTCAACCTTTCTCGGGCTACCTCAGCAGTTAGGTATCTCAGACAAATGGGCATCAGAGCTTCCCCCCCACCCACTGGAAGCCCAAGCAACTGTCCCTCCCGACTCGGGCACTCCCGCCCGGGCTACCCTGCACGACGGGTAGGTCGGCGGAGGGACAACGGCTGCCCTGGAGGCTCACAGACCCCGAAAGTCGAAGGGAACCGGGTCCCCGCAGGCCCTCCCCTCCGGAGCTCCGTGGCTCCAAAGACACCGGGTCCCGCCCCCACGGCTCGGGATCAATTCCTGGCCGGGAGTAGGTCTGTAGGCCCTGAGAGAAGGCCGAGAGGATGACAGATGAGGGGGAGCGGCCGGCCCTGGGTGCGAGCGGCCAGGAGAAGCCAAGGAAGACTGCGAGGGGCTGGCCCGTACCTGTCCAGCCGGGACCCGCCGCTCCGAGTGACGCGTCCCGCAGTGCATTGTGGGCCAAGGAGTGGTCTTTCCGCTGGGCTGCCGCGCGTCCAACGTTATTCGCGCCCGTCGGAAACAAGCCCCGCCTCCGTTCCCTCGAATCCCACAGGCCAACCAAGTTCTGTGGGATGGACACTATTGACCCGCCCCTACCCGGAGCCCTCGTTAGTCCCGCCCCCTCCAGGGTAAGATTGACAGTTTCTCTGGCACCTGCCTCTAGAGAGTGCATAGTCCTGTGAGGGAACTGTGTTGTCCCACAGAAATAGGGCTAATTTCCCTTGCCTGCCGCCCTTGATCAGAAGGCAGTTTATCCCTCACACTCAGCCCTACAGCAAATACTTACCCTACCTAATGAAGATAGGGCAGGGGGAAATGCCTCTGTGGGTGAGCAAGGAAAATGTCTGTTTCCATACAACCACACACAAGAAGGAATGTGACCCAAGTAATTGTTGCTATTAAGTGCTGTCAAGGTGACCCCGTATAGGGTTTCCAAGGAGTAATTGGGGAGTTGGAACCGCCAACCTTGTGGTTAGCAGTCCAGTGATTATCCTACAGCTTTGCACCTGGCCTCAGACCCAGCAGAGAAATGCAAATGTTTCCTTCCAGCTTTCACATCAGCCATGCATTATAAAGAAAGTATTGACTGAACGTCAACCACATGCCATGCACCGCGTTAGACATCGAGTTACCGAAGTGAACATAACACACAATAAAATGTAAGGTGTAGTTGTTGTTGTTAAGTGCCATTGAGTCAGTTCCTACTCACAGCGACCCTGTACAGGGTTTCCAGGAGTCCTGGTGTGGTGCTGTAGGATAAACAGTGGACAGCAAGGTTGGCGGTTCATACTCACCAGCCACTCCACGGAAACCCTATGCAGGGTCTTTATGAGTCAGAAGCGACTTAACAACAAGACATAGTTTCCAAGGAGGAAAAGCTGGTGGATGTGAATGAAGTACTGGTAATGACAGAGATGGAGAGAGATGGGTAATTTCAAGACATTTGTAAATTAGAGTTGTAATACAAGGAATTTTATAATGTATTGGTTTGCTAGGAGGGATGAAGTAAAGAGGAATATTAAGAATGATTCTGAGTTTTGGCTTAAGTAGCTAGATGGACTACAATGGATAAGTCATTTACTAATTCAAGGTACATAGAAGGAGGAGGGTATGTTTTGGGATATGTTAAATTAGAAACACTTCTAAATGGTACTGTAGGATAAGCCCGGGACTGCTAACCACAAGGTCGGTGGTTCAAGCCCACCAGTCAACCCTATACAAGTTTACTACGAGTTAGAACTGAATTGATGGCACTTAACAGCAACAATAAATGAAGATGTCAAGCAGACTTGGATATGTATGTGTGGAGTGTAGAATAAAGGTCCAAACTATACAAATCTGATGGTTGGAGTGTAGACAATATTTAAAGCCATGGATTCGTATTTAAGAAGAAAATGTAGATCTAGAAGAAAGACAGTAGAAAAGGCAATGAAAGGAGTAGCTAATCTTACAGTCCAGAAACAGAGATCCCTAGGACCATTAAGGGAGAAGTGCACGAACGGAATGTAGGACCCTATCCAGAGAAGCAGCAATACCAGAGATGGAGGCAGAGATGAGGACATGGAAACAGAGAGCAGCCCAGGATTCTAGATTCATGGAAAGAGAAAGACTGAGTGCTGGCTGTCAAGAAGTAGGCTTGCAGAATATGCCCTTTGGTTGTTTAAATTATTATACATTCCTGAGTGTTTTTGTGCATATCCATCCCTCCCCCCCAAAAAAAGAACAACACACACACAGAGGGAATAGAAGCAAATACTGTTGAATGATGATGCATGGAGGGGATTGTAACCATGGCAATGAAATGAAATAAGATAGGATGAATGTAAAGCTAACGTTCTCCCATATAAACTATCACATAATTCACAATAAAACAGTTAAAAAAAAAAAAAGGGACACTGAATGGTTTAAAATCAGGAATGTGTGCCAGGGTTGTATTCTTTCACCATACTTATTCAATCTGTACGCTGAGCAAATAATCAGAGAAGTTGGATTATGCAAAGAACATGGCATCAGAATTGGAGGAAAGCTCATTAACAACGTGAGAAATGCAGATGTTACAACTTTGCTTGATTGAAGCTAAGAGGACTTTGCTTACATACTTATGAAGATCAAAGACTCATAGCCTTAAACTTCAGTATGGATTGTACCACAAGGTAAAGAGAAAAACATCAGAACTGGACCAATAAATCACATGATGATAAAAGGAGAAAAGATTGAAGTTGTCAAAGATTTAATTTTGCTTGGATCTATAATCAACACTCTTGGAAGCAGCTGTCAAAAACCAAAGGATGTATTGCATTAGGCTGCAAAAGACCTCTTTAAAGTGTTAAAGAGCAAAGAGGTCACTTGAGGACTCAGGTGCATCTGCCAAGTCATGGTGTTTTCAATAGCCTCTTATGCATGTGAAAATTGGACAATGAATAAGGAAGAATGTAGAAGAATCGATGAATTTAAATTATGGTGTTGGTAAAAAATACTGAAAGTACCATGGACTTCCAGAAGGACAAACATGTACGTCTTAGAAGAAGTACAGACAGAACGTTCCTTAGAAGTAAGGATGGTGAAACTTCGTCTCTTATACTTTGGATATTATATCTAGAGGGAACCAGTCCCTGGAGAACATCATGCTTGGTAAAGTAGAGGGTCAGAGAAAAAGGGAAGATGCTAATAAGATGGATTAACAGAGTGGCAGCAACAATGGGCTCAAATATAGTAACAACTGCTGGGATGGTGCAGGACCAGATAGTGTTTAGTTCTGTTGTGCATAGGGTCGCTATGAATTGGAACTGACGGGAAGGCACTTAACAACAAGAACAAGAAGTTTATGGTACTTTTGTTATGGCAACCCCAGATTATTAATATAATGATCAGCACTAGAGATCAACACTAGAGAGTGAGATTGTTGTTTTTATTTCTTTGATATGCATTTTTGTCCTTCATTTTTCTCCAATAAATGGCCACTAGTTTTATAAATAAGGAGCTCTGGTAGTGTAGTGGTTATGAATTGGGCTGCTAACTTCAAGGTCAACAGTTTGAAACTACCAGCATTTCCTCAGGAGAAAGGTGAAACTTTCTGCTGCTATAAAGATTTACAGCCTCAGAAACCCTGTACAGGGTCGCTATGGGTTGGGACTGACTCCATAGCATACCACCACTACCACCAACAGTTTTATAAATAGAGTGAAAGACATTTATCTAAAATGCCTCTTAAAGCAAAAAGAGGAACCACAGAACTAAAGGTTGATGCTTACGGTGTGCAAGATAAGCGGGAAAGAGGTAGCTTTAAGATCTATTTAAAAATAACATGTGATCTCACACCAGCATTAATAACAAACTTCACAAAAATAGAAAACAACAAATTTTGGTGAGGGTGTGGAGAGACTGGGACCCTCCTACATTGCTGGTGGGGCTGTAAAATAGATCAACCACTGTAGAAAATGGTATGGTGCTTCCTTAGAGAGTTGGAAATAAACCTATCATATGGCCCAGTAATCCCTCTACTTGGTATATGTTGTTTGTTGTTGTTAAGTGTCATTGAGTCAGTTCCAACTCATAATGACCCTGTGTAGGGTTTCCAAGGAGCTCTGGTGAGTTTGAACTTCTGACCTTGTGGTTCAAACAGACCCTTCAGTCCAGTCAGTGCTTTATCTCATAGCACCAATATCCACAAGAAATAAGAGCCAGGACAAGAATTGATATAAGCACACCGATGTTCATCACAGCACTATTCACAATAGCAAAAAGATGGAGACAGCCTAAATGTTCATCAAAGGAAGAATGGATAAACAAACTTTGGTACTTACACACAATGGAATGCTATGCAATGTTGAAGAATAATGATGAATCTACTAAACAACTCATAACATGTTTGAACCTGGAGAACATTTTTCTGAGTGAAGTAAGTCAATTACCAAAGGACAAATATGGTTTGAAACCACTATTGTAAAAATTCAAGTAAAGGTTTTCATACTAAAAGTAACATTCTTTGATGGTTATCAGGGATGGGAGGGAAGGGTGAGAAATTTGCTGGCTAGTGGATAGGCACATGTTGGGAAGGGTAATATATAAGGGGAATGGCAATATACAAGAAGAGGGAGGTTGGCAGAACAATGAAGACACCAGGAGATAAAGGTAAATAGTGATATATACACAACCTTGGAACAACAGTATTATGTGTGTAGATATGTGGAGAGAGAGACACAGGCTGAATGGTTATGGGAGGAAGAGTGGGATACATATATATATATATACTTATATATCCCACAAATAAACAACAGTGTGAAAGAGGGTATTTGTACATGTGTAGCCACATGTTAGGGAGGAAGCAGGACAACTGTTATTGTATGGAAGGGACTGCAATCATAAGGATGAAACAAAGTATATGATTTGTTGAATGTAAACTTGATGACCTTGTCTCAAAACCTCACTCAAATCACAATAACAATAAAAAAGAAACTCTAAAACAAAAATAAGTAAAAATAACATGTGATTTTAATCTTTGAAGGTAAGTCAGAAAGTATTGCTACAAAACCATAGAAACCTTTATTAAATATATAAAAATGAGAAGCTATTGTTCCTCAACATATATGCCCTCTAGGTCTATACACTCTGAAAGCAGTGTTTCCATCTCTCTAACCTTCCCTGAGGACTTCTGCACTTTTTGATTTACACAATGTCAAAATGGCAGTGTTGGCATCCTTGCGAGAGTCAAATAGTGTTCCTTTTAATGTCCTTTGAGGTTTTTTTTGGGGGGGGTGGGAGTCTGAAAGAATAAAATCAGGACTGTAGGGTAAATGAGGTAAGGTTTCCCAATGACAGTCTTTGCTACCCTTCAAAGAATGAGCAGGCGCACTCTTGTGATGGACAAAAAAAAATCCTCAGTACCACTTTCTTGGCCTGTTTCTCACCAATGCCATTTTCATTTTTT